TAGTTACTTGAGGACTGTGCAGAGACCTAATTAGTTTTGGGTAAATATTGTGCATATTAATCACTTATTAGCATAATTAGTTAATTTTCAGCTTTTCACGTGATATCTCAAGTACTAATCATCACATTTCAATGAGACTTGTGACATAGATATTCTAGGACTATGCAGAGACCTGATTAATTTTGGGATAAATAATTGTGCCTATTAATTACCTAATTTGCATAATTAGTTAATTTTTTGCTGTTCTATGATGTCTAAAAACCACTCATTGGATTTCAATGAAACTTTTAAATAGTACCCATCACATTTCAATGAACGTAAGACTATGCACCATATTAGTTTTTGGTAAATATTTATGCTTCTTAATCATCTAATTAACATAATTAATACTGATATCTCAAGTATTGATCATCACATTTGAATAAAACTTGGTACATAAATGCTCTAGGACAATAGACAGTCTGATTAATTTTGGGTTAAAATCTGTTCATATTAATTCTCTAATTAGCATAATAATTAATATTTTTTTGGTTCTAATCACATTTCAATGAAACTTGGTACATTGTGCAGACCTTATTAGTTTTACACTTAAATCTGTTCATATTAGTTACCTTATTTGCATAATTAGTTTTCAGCTATTCCATCAATATCTCAAGTATAAGTAATTTTGAATTAATTTTTAATGTGTCTCCAAGACTCTCAGCACACATGAGTTCTTTCTAAGTTTTCTTTGATTTAACATTAAAATGATTGACATTCAGTCATCTTGTATCTGATCTCTGATCTTCGAATGAGTACTTGAGAGGTATTATTCAGGAACAGCATTAATTAAAACAAAATGGCCACCGAGCGGCCACTTTAAATCAGAACTTGAAAAAAACGCATAGTAATTAACCAGTGTTACATGAAGTGCAATGATGAGGTAAAATGTGATTGCAATCAGCCAAAGAGACATGTCAAAATGGAATGGAAGAAATGTTTGATTTTCAAATAAAATTAAAACAGTCGCCATTTGGACATCTTGAATCTGATCGTCAAACTAATACCTGTGCATATGTGTAGTATGATGTATAGTATATAAAGTTTGAACGTGATCAATCAAAGCACGTCAGATATTGCTCAGCATTTATAAAAACAAAATGGTCATAAATTGAAAATTGATGTGCATCAGGGACCTATAATGTCTAATGTATGTACCAAGTTTGAACAAAATCCATCTATAAACGACCGAGATCTAGTTCCGGAATGCCTGATTTCAATGATTTTTCAGCACAAAATTGGCCGCCATTCGGCCATCTTGAAACTGATCGTGAAACAAATTGATGTGCATATGTATAATATCATGTACGATGTACATGTGAATCTTTAATGTAATTGGTCCAGGCATGTCTAAGATATAGGGCATGCACACATGCACAGAGGTCACCGCATCCGGACGGGGACTAATGTGCATAATTGCAACATAAGAATACTTCAAAATGTATATACGAGAGGGACATACACGAAAACATCTTCAATAAATACATTTGTAAAAGTCATAATTAAAAAAGTCTATACAAACAAAGTGTATGCAGCATATATGAGGTAGGAAGCACATCAACTAATCTTATGATTTCAGTTACGACATGATCACATGTGACACTACTATTTGCCATTGAGTAAACTATTTACGCAAACATCATACACCAAAGAAGTGAGTCATCTGTTTCTATGGTAACTATTCCATTACTAGCTGGATCCAAGGTGTTGGATGTACTGATCAAACCTCCAAACTCCATCTCACTTTTGTCTGCAAGATAAAATCACAACATTTGGTCGGCGTTCATAAGCAAAATCTTAATGACCCGTGCAATAGACCTTGTTATATGATATATATATGTAATATCAAAGCAATCGGACTATTGTTTTTTTTACAAGAAGTCGAAAAATCACTTTTTACCAAAAATATTCACCAAAATTAAAGAATCGAAGAAATCACCACGAAATGAACAAATCTGAGAAAGGTCTGCATGTAGTATCTAAATATATAATATCAAAGCAATTGAACTATTGGTTTTTAACAAGAAGTCGAAAATATCACTTTTTACCAAAAATTACAAAAATATTCACCAAAATTAGAGAATTGAAGACATCATCACAAAATGAACAAATCTGAGAGAGGTCCACATGTAGTACCTATATATGTAATATCAAAGCAATAGAACTTGTGGTTTTTAACAAGAAGTCGAAAATATCACTTTTTACCAAAAATGATAAAAATATTCACCAAAATTAGAGAATTGAAGACATCATCACAAAATGAACAAATCTGAGAGAGGTCCACATGTAGTACCTATATATGTAATATCAAAGCAATAGGACTTGTGGTTTTTAACAAGAAGTCGAAAATATCACTTTTTACCAAAAATGATAAAAATATTCACCAAAATTAGAGAATTAAAGATATCATTACAAAATGAACAAATCTGAGAGAGGTCCACATGTAGTACCTATATATGTCATATCAAAGCAATTGCAATTGCGTTTTTTAACAAGAAGTCGAAAATATCACTTTTTACCAAAAATGACAAAAATATTCACCAAATTTAGAGAATTGAAGATATCAACATGAAATGAACAAACCTAAGAGACATCATAGGTACATATACACCAAGTATCAAAGCATTCAGGCTTGTAGTTTTCAAGAAGAAGTCGAAAAAGTAAAACATTGACACGGACGACGGACAATCACTCATATGATAAGCTTCGCTCGACAAAGTCGACAGCGGAGCTAAAAAAGTCAAGGTATTATACCCAAAGAAAGCTCATTTCTTAAAATGAATGATTTATGTAAAAAATTCCCTAAAAATTGAATTATATTTCTGTCATTACTTTTCATTAAATATGTGAATTTTTGCAGGTTGGTAATGATTTATTTGGGGAATAATATACTGGAAATAAAATGATTTCTATCTGTTTGATATCGTGGGCAAACTAAAAAAAAGTGTAATTCGTCTTCAACTTCCTGTAATGGGCATTGTTTACAAATTCTATTTTCTTATGAGGTTTTTGGATTGGTATGTCTGTCTTTATGACTACTTGTCCTGAATCGAGCCATTGATATTCTTTGATTATTATCCAAAACATTTAGGTAATTTTCCAGATTGTAATTCATTTTCTCAGTTTTGTTTTTTCATTTGTCATATTCTCTCTCCAGTATGTTATGTATTGTTGTTTAATAGTGCTGCTAATTTCCTTAATATTTTGATGTGATAGCTGTGATGTTTTAGAGAGGTCTACATCTTTCAAGATATTTTTGAGATGTTTTCAAGATGTTTCCCATTGTGCTTTTGACAAAGTCTGATCGCTTAACGCTATCTTTGTATAATTATGAAAATGAAAATCTGCCAACAAAAAAACAACAACACTGACTTCTAAGTTATGCCTAGGATGGACATTGAAAAACTATTGGATACTATTGGATTGATTGAGATACAACCAGAAATTAAAAAATTTGTAACTGAAATTTTTGCCGATTTATCATGTATCATGAAAAAGAGAAAGTTTGATAGGATAGATTCCCTAGTGATTTAAGGACAGTAATGTGTTTCCATCATATTGGATTTGGCAAAGGATTATGGGTTACAAATTTAACCAGAGGGCACTTTGTGGGAATCTTTTTCATACAGCTCTGTGCTAACATCAGCTGTGAACCTCTCCTGTTTTCAAGCAATGTTGCTAGTTTTGTTTTTTGTTTTTTAAATTGCGTGATTATATAGTTTGACTATAATCAAGACTTTAAAGATTTTCATATTGAGTTTTCAATTTTATTGACTCCAAGTTTATCTGTATAAACCTTAGTGATAAAATGAAGTACCAAATGTCACATGACTTACTGAGATTCCATTTAAGACCACATGTTGTGACACTACGACAAGGACGTCCTACAGGCAGCAACCCACACCAGGAATGATGATTAACATCGTTTACTTCTATAACATGTTCTCCCTGAAATCAGAATAATTATCATTTTTACATCAATTGTATAAAATTGTGGTAGCTACAGTGACTGTAGAAGTACATCATCATCTATCACAGTTTAAATGCACACTGACTGATTTAAATAAAATCCTAGTTTAGGTTGTTGTTTTTTAATTATATATTTTCATATATTTTATTATTATCTTTTTCAATTTATTTGCTGGTATTTTTTTAAGGTTTAGTGGGCTTTCGCGATTACCAAAACTTAAAAAAGATAGCAGCAAATAAATTGAAATAAAATAATAAAATATAGTAAACAAGCCATGCATGGCACAGTCCCTGTTAGTTATCAAATTTAAGATAAATAGTTTTGTTTATAGTAATATAGCTGAAATATATCCATGTCAGGAATATGATCGTCAAACAAGTAGTTGTCCACATGAGAGATATTGCTCTGGAACAGCATTAATTAAACAATGTAACAGCTCCTGCTGTTCGGTTGAGGGAGAGTATTGACGCGACACAATTGATTGGGTAAAACACAACTATCAACGCATTGATCACTTTAATCACATCTAGTAGACATACGAGCTTGAGTACAATATAATATTGGCAGTAACAATGACAATGGTTTCAAATTTGTGTCTTGACCATGGAATAGCGTGAATTGAATGACGAATTGAGCGTTAGTGACGAGTCAAAATCAAATGCCGCGGTAGCGTGAAAACTTGTGATCTTCAAAAGGTAAAAGGTCAACTTTGAACAAAACGAAAGGGCCACTAGAGGGCGCCACATATCTAACTGTGTTGCAAACCGGCAGCAACAAACAAAATCAGCCATTTTGAATACATGTATAATGAATATATAAAATTTGAACAAAATAAGGTCAAAACATGTCAGAGATATGGCTCTAGAAGCCCATTCATTAAAACAAAATGGTCGCCAGTCAACCATTTTGAATCCCATTTGAAAAATAAAATGATGTGCATTTTGAACTTGTAATGTCTAATGTATGTTATAAGTTTGAATGAAATCCATCGAGAAATGCTTGATATTTGATGATTTTTTAGCACAAAAATGGCCACTATTTGGCCACTTCGAAAAGGATCGTCAAACTCTTATATCCGTATATCTATGAAATGATGTATAATGAATATTCAAAATTTTAACATAATCACTCAAAGCAAGTCAGAGATA